TCTCGAAGGACAGCCCCAATTTCACCGGCCAAAAAATCATCGCAACCATTTTGCTGCCGTCCGGCGGCCTGAAGCAGGTCGATCTGCGGACATTGCTAAATGGGCCCCACGCCAATGCGACCGAATCCAGGTTCCCGATGAAGAATCCCGGAAATTCAGTTCGGATCGTCGGCTGCTGTGACGGGCTCGTTTGCCTCGCCGTCGACGGTAAGCAGTTCTCCCTCTGGAACCCTTGCACCGGAAATTACAAAAAACTACCCGAGGTGGATGATGATAACATGAACTTTTTGTTTATTTCCAAGTATGGGTTTGGATTTGACTATGGTAGTTGCGATTACAAGGTATTGGGGATTATGACTGGGTTCTCTGGCCCGAATAGATATCAAATTATGGCCAAAGTTTACAGCTTGAAAGCCGATTCTTGGAAAAAAGTCGAGATCTTTAATGACGGGCTCCCGACCGATGATGCTGCAAAATTTGTCGGTGGGAAGCTGCATTGGGGGAAGAAAGTTGGGCTCAATTGGGAAATTGTTTCATTCGATTTAGCAACCGAGACTTTGGGGAAAGTTGAGCCGCCGTTGGGTTTCGAGGGCTTCTTTTCCGCATCGTTGGGGATTCTTGGCGGGTGCCTTTGCGTGCTTCGTGATTTTCGCGAAAGGAATTTGGATGTTTGGGTTTTGCAGCATTATGGGGTTGGAGATTCTTGGGTTAAAATGGCGAGTATTCATTATGATATTATCCGTTGTGTTCTTAGGAAAGGTCCATATCCGGAGCCCTTGTGGATGGGGCCCACGGGCGAGGTCTTGTTGGTTTGTGGTTCGAGTTTTGTGATTTGGGATCCAAGCGGAGGTAGACTTAGGTGTCCGGAGACAATGAAATTCGGTGCTTTTGTTGAGGCGGATGTTTATACGGAGAGTTTAGTCTCGTTCGGTCATTAGAGAGTAAATCTACGTGTGAAGGAAAAAATATGAAAATGATATTTGACTTTCAAAATTGTTGAATGATGTGCTAATGTTGTGATGGATCGTAGGCAGGATCGTTCGGCTGAACTGAACTGAGAAAAATTATGTTCTCTACCGCGAATTGTATTGTATTTGATTTGTAGCATAACTGGCTTATGCTCTCCTTGAATTAGTTTTCATGTTCATGGCATCGCTGTTACGGAACATTTCAACCTATCGGTAATTGTAGCTGAAAAGCACTTTGGTGCAAATTCTCAAAAGAATATGTAGTTACCGAGGTTTTTTACTGATAGTAATGTGTGTTGATTCAACGGCAAAAGGAAGAAAAAAAGAAAACCGGTGACTGCAGATAAGAATCGAACTTACCCTTTATTAAGTTAGTTGCATCTTATTTGTGCTAATGTTTTACTGGTGCTACATTTTCTTGCTTATAAACGTTGATTTCGTTCTTGTCCCTAGACTTGCAAGAGAACTCTATGAAAATCTCTAATGTAACTAAAGTGAATAAGCATATTTGGAGCCGCAGAATCTCTTGAGCCTCTCTGTCTCTGTATATGTAACTGAAGTGAATGCTTTATATACTTTTCCATCAATTTTTATGTAACAAATGTAAATGGTATATGTATATATGTGTGTCTGTGTGTATAAAATTTTATTTATAATTTAATTTGCTGTCTCTATATTTAGTGTATGTTTGGAAGCACTTTTGTAATGGACTTTTGACTATAAAAGTCCATTTCCAATATAAAAAGATGTTTGGTGTAAACAACAAAATGAACTTTTAAAAAAGTAACTCCTACAAAAAGTCCATTTCAAAGAAGTTTATATTGAAGACTTCTTGAGAAGTCACTTTTCAAAAAGTCCATCTTGAAATGGACTTATCAATAAGTGTTTCCAAACAAGCCCTTAATTTTATTTTTTCTACTCATAATTATAAAATTAATTGATTAAAATTTTATTAAATAGAAATACCATTTTGATTTTTCTTATACTATATTATACTAGTACAACACTCGTGTATTACACGGGTGCTTGTTAAAAAATTATTCTTAAATTTTAAAATTAATAAGAAAACTATAAAAATCTAGTTTACTTTTTTACAAAAAAATATATTACTCTGTATTTTAGAATGATATGTGTAACTTATGACTTACATGTGTTATATTATATTAGTTTTTATAACTTATATCATATAACTACTTAAAATATAAATATATTAGTTGATAAATAATTTTATTTTTCTAATTCATATTAAAATTAATTTTATTATTGTTATAAAGATAAAGATAAGTTATTTTTTTTATACATACAATATGGATGTTAAATCGAAGTTCATCAAAAGAAGATTAATTTGATTTATTACATATGTAAAACTGATAAAAAATACAAAAGTTATTAATTTTTAAAATATATATACAATTCAATAGTTATAATAAGGAATGATATTAAAATGCAATTGATACATGTAACATGACCTTCTAAAAGTCGGCATAGGCGGTGCCCGGGCGCCTCCGATTTGCACAAATCGGCAGAAAAAATTGGCCAGGCGGGCCTAGGCGGCTCTAGGCGCTTCTAGGCGGCCTTGGCGGGCTCGGCGGCCAGGCGGTTAGGCGGCGCCTAGGCGGGCATAGGCGGACCTAGGCGCTCCTAGGCGGGCTCGGCGGCAATTTTTCAGTTTTTTTTTTTAATTATTTGGATTTAGGTGTGTCGATTTATTATAAGTTGAGATAATTTTATTTTGTAGGTTACTAAATTAAATTAAAAATAAGGTATTTTATATTTATTTCTAGGCCCCGACTAGGCGCTCTAGGCGCTAGGCGCTGGTCGAACGCCTAACGGGCGCCTAGCGACTTTCAGAACACTGAACATGGCCATAAATAATGAATATATTTATGGTAATCCGAATGTAATTGTTTTTGGTTTGGAATTAAATTAAAATTTACCCAAGCCTAATAACGAAGCATGTAATCTTGCCACATAGGATTCCGAAGCACCAAAAGCAGCCACGTAAGCTCAGCGCGTTCTGAATTAATATATAGGGGGCTCAGCGCGTTCTGAATTAATATATAGGGGGATTATAAGCATAGAGAATAATTAAATTTAGTAATGCATGTCAGTAAGAGAATTTAAGTTTAACCATATTTTTAACTAATATTTTTCTATCCTTTTTTTGTTTAGCATTTTCAATTAGTTTGTAATATTAATTAATGTTGTTTGTAATAATAGTTTTATTGTATATTAAAATTATAAACATTATATAAATTATTTTTTATAAAACTTACAATCCATACATTGCAAAGGAACCTACACTAGTATAAGCTTTAATATAACTTATAATTTAGAAGAAAAAAGAAAGAAAGAACTTTCATTTTACTTATAATATTTATTTTAATAAATCACTTGATAATTTAAAATTAAACAAAAACTATTATAATCTTATGGCTAAATGGCGGGAATTAACACGACCTTTACGCGTTTGGCAATTTAATCACGACCTTCAAACCTTGTCAGAAAAATACATGACCTTTACAATTTTGGCAACCCGATACATACTTCTAACTGCCGTCAACGGAAGTGTAATGTGGCAATTTAACTTGACGGAAACACCAAACGGGCGTCCGAGTCAGCTTCCAGGTGGCAATAACCCTAGTATAAAAGACGCTTCTTCCCCAAATTCACCATAATCGTTAATTTTTCCCCAAATTCACCACAATTCGTTTTGCCCTAACCCTAATTCACCCCAATTTGCCCCGAAATGTCGTCATCTTCTAGCTCAGATTCAAGGAGATTGAAATCAGTATGTTTCCATGGAGACGAAGCAGTTATATTCACGTCAAATACCGACCTCAATCCTTGTCGTCGATTCCGACGTTGCCGCAACATACAGGTGACTACGATTTCGTTTTGCAATTTTGTTTTTTATTCTGTTTCGTGCCGATATGACTACAATCGTGCCGCTGTGAGTGCAATTTGGCTTTGTTTTTGTAATTTCATGTGTGGCCATTCTGATATGAAATGCTGAGTTCAATTTCAAATGACGAGTTCAATTTGATGAAATGAACACAGAAAAAACGAGTGGAATTTGAAATTTCAGTTTATCATATGAGATGAAAATTGATAATTTTTGCCTTAGTTTTATGGTTTTTCAGTTATTGTGTTTTGTTCTAATTCTAATCCTTGCTTATCTGTATAAGAATGCATGTACATACTTTTCTTGGGTTGATCCGGAGCTTGGACCATTTCAGAAATCATGTTTTCTGAAACTGAAGGTTGAGAAGGCATTATTGGAGGAGCAATTAAAATGCAGAGATGTTACTGAAGTAGCATTGGTTGAGAGGCTGAAAATGAAGGAAGATGAACTATTGTATCTTAAATCCAAAGTAAATGAGTTGGAGGAGCAAGTACAAGTCTTGTCCAAGAGAAACAGATTCAGATATCCGATTGTGTGTGTGTCAGTTGTGTTATTTGTTGTTTTGCTTTTGTTCTTTGGTAAAGAGGAAAATGGTTGACAACCTTATGTACAAGACTTGTCCAATAGAACCAATTATGATGAACTTGGTGTAGGACAAAATTGCAATGTATGTTGTTATCTGAATTTAAGTGTATGCTGCCTTTTTGTAACTTCATTTCGGTTGTTAATGAAATTTTATATTGAATCAGTTTATGTTTTTGTGTAAGTTCATTTTAGTGTATGTTGGTGTCATATGCACAAAAATCCTATAAGCCAAACAAATGTGGTACATTCAATCATCAGCACATAACAATATGCACAAGCATCTTAAATACCAAACAACCTCAACAAACACCAACTGAAGCCATGTTAAAAACAGAAGTCTTGTTGCCATCCTTATAAAATCAAAAGTCATATCCAATCCAAATTCCACAACCAAAACATCAAATCCAAATCCAAATCCAAATTTAGATAACACATTGCTAACAACTGCAGCTCCAATCCCACATCAAACCAGAAAACATGAAAAAACACAGTAGTTCACAACATACATCCCCCAAAACCCAAACAACAGTAGTTCACAACATACATCCCCATGACAACTAACAAGGTTTAAAATTACACACACTCTCTTGTGTCCCCTGATCTCTTGGGCAATTCTTGGATGTTTGTTTCTTTTGTCCAGGTAATGATCCTGCTCTTCTGTTAGGTACAAAGTGAGCTCTATTTTGCCCTGGCATCTGATTAAGAATTTGTGGGACAAAACAAATTAAGTTAATATCTGAAATATACACTGCAATTGGTACAGGAAAAGTATATGGTAATAATGAAGCATACCCTCATATAAATGTCTCATGTCTGCTCAGAGACCATCACACCAAATCCTTTTTGGCCTAAACAAGCAAAGACACAAATAAGTTAATAAACTGATATTATGCTTTATGTAAGAAAATAATAGCTTTTACCATTGCTCTGTCTTTTGCCCTAATAGCTTGCACAGGTTGAGAAGATTGTCCAACACTCCTGATTCTAGAACTCCTTCTTGTTTGTTGCATAGCAGCTGTGGCTGATCTAGTAGTTGGGGCTGTTCTTGTGGCTGAAGCTGCTCTTGTGACCTTGGTTGCTCTTGTGCTTGTGGTTGCTTTTGTGGATGGGGCTTGTGTTGGTGGTGCTGTTGGGGCTTGTGTTTGTGGTGCTTTTGTTGGTGCTCTTAGGGCTTCTATTGGGGCTGGTGTTGGGACTGGTGGTGGGTTGGTTGATGTTGAGTTTGTTGGTGTTGGGATTGTTGGTGTTGGGACTGCTGGTGTTGGTGTGACAGTCCAATCTTTTGCAGAAGACTCCACATGTTGCTCCCTTGTACTTGGTCTCCCTCTCTTTTTCTACAATTTATCAACAAGGATATGAACAGAATGCATTATAAAAGTTTATAAATAAGCAAAAACAATTAAACTTACTCTTGTCTGTGCAGGAGCAGCTTCATTGGGGCAAGTCCTGATGTTATGCCCAATTTTCTTGCATTTTTGGCAAGTCATTTGTAGTCCAAATCTCCTCAGCTTAGTGTCACTTTTGGCCTCTTCTTCAGGAGCTTTTATCCTTTTTATTTTAGGTCTACCAGGCATCTTTTTAAATGGAGGTGGCTTCACAGTGGACCCAGATGCTTCAGGCCACATTTTAGGCCCATTTAATGGTTCAAGACTAAAAGAGTATGCTTTCAAATTTCATTCTACACTGAAGTATGGGCTGACAAAGTCCACTACATCCCTCTTCATGTACTGAATTGCAGAACAAGCATGGATACATGGTATACCAGATATATCCCAGCTTCTACAACTACATGTCATGCACTTCAAATCAACCACAAACTGATCATCTGATATGGCAACTTGAAATTTTTCACCCACTGCAGGTTTTGTCACACACAACCTACTTCTCAACTTATTTTCCTCAATTTTTTTCCTTATCCTAGGAAATATTGTGTCATTCAGTCCACTAGTCAACATTAGTTTGTGATGCTGCCTTTCCATTACATAAGTTCTATACTCTCAAGCATCTCAACAATTGGTTTTTTTCTTGCCTTCACTATGGTACTGTTGAAAGTTTCACATACATTATTAAGTATCATATCACATTTTGGATTCTCAAGGATAAAGGCTTTACAGAACCTGAAATTTTCCATGCCCATGAAATCATCATAAGCCTCCTTAGCCACTGCCTTCATCCCTTCAAGTGCTTCCTTATATTCTGCCTTGTGTGTGCTATGCACTACCCTCCAGAAACAGCTCTTCAGTGCACTGCCTTTGTGTGATTTCTTCCAATTCATGTACACATGTCGTGCACAATTTCTATGTTCTGCATGTGGTGAGAGGTCCCTTATAGCAGCAATGAGTCCCTACATAATGAGATAAGTCAGAACATATATTAAAGATAAGCCAAACAACCAAATATATTAATGCAAAACAACCAAATATATTAATGCACATATTGAAAGAACTAACCTTTTGCTGATCACTGATAAATGTCCATCCAAGTCCATCTGATATCCCCAAATCTTGAAAAAGTATGTCTAGAAACCATTTCCAATTGCTCTCATTCTCAGAATCCACAACTGCCCATGCCAAAGGAAATATCTGGTTGTTCCCATCCTTCCCAACAACACACAATAATACACCTCCTAAAAAGGTCTTCAAGAAAGCCCCATCAAGGCCAATAATTGGCCTACAGCCTTGCAAGAAACCTTGTCTTAGTGCACTAAAACCTACATAAAAACATTTGAATACACTGCCACTCTCCAATTTCAGCTGAAATGTGCCATTTCTATCAACCCTTTGAAGCTCTGCAATGTACCTCCTAAGTTTTCCATAGTGCTCCTCCTATGTACCTCTAAGCAGTTTAAGAGCCTTAGTTTTTGCTTTGTACAGTTTCCACCTAGAGGGTTGCACACCATATTTTTCACTGATAGAATCCTCTAAGTCAGAAATTTTCATCTTAGGCTTCTTTCTAATCATAGGTAGATATTCCCCAGCAACCCAAGAAGCAGTTGCTTGTTTAGTGTTCAAGTCCCTATGGCAGCTGTGGCTACTAACAAAGGTCTTCACAGCCACACTACCTTCACCTTTTATCAGACTAGCATAAAGCCTCCATGGACAACCAACTTCACACCTAGCTTCAATCTGACTTGAACAACTTCTGACAAAACTTATGTTGCAGCCATTATAAATTGCATAATTCTTAACTGCCTTCCTACATTGCCCAATGGTTTCAAATCTCATCCGAAGCTGAAATTGGAAGGTCTGCAGATCTCCTTTTCCATCACAAACTATATTTTTCTTCTTAGGCCTTGCTTCATCATCATCATCACCAAGACCATCACCACTAGATGAGTCAGTGTTGACATTCCCTTCAGAATCTTCATATTCCGACTCATTATCTCTTGCAGGTATATTGTTGTCATCAGCCTCATGATGTGAAGATGGTTGTGCAAATGACATGTTTGCATCTCCATCGTCTGTTGACTGTCTGGAGTTCAAAGCTTCTCTCCTAGCCTGAAGATACTCCTCATCATCTGTCTCTAAATCTTCATCAGACAAACCATCATTACTTGAAGATTCACCAGATGGTTCATACTCCTCATCCTCACTTTCATCTAAAGCAAACTTACCCAGCTTTTCACTAGTATCCTTTGCTTGGTGTACTTCAGCAACTTCAGATACCCTATTCCTATTTGACTTTTCTTGTTGACAAACAGCAGCAACTTCAAGTACCCTATTCCTATTTGACTTTTCTTGTTGACAAACAGCAGCAACTTCAGAAACCACAGACGGTTTGTTCAGTTGTGTAGTTTGCACAAATATTTCAACATATCTTATGTTTCTCTGCATTTGACCCAAACATTCCATAACACCAGCATCATCTTTTATATCCTGAAACTCATGTGTTGTCCGATGCTTATAACATATTCTACCCCAGTTTTCATATCCCAGCTTCTTTATTTGATCTTCGATGTCAAAATAACCTAGCCTATCCTCATCCAACCCAGTAACCGTGGCAACAAAATCACCATAATAATACTCATGCCCTTCGAGAGTGACAAATCTACCCTTGTGATTGATGAATAACATAAAGAAATCACTGCAAATTCAAAAAATCGAAAATTTTTACCAATTCGAACCCTAAAAGAACTAAAATCAATTGAACATTTCAACTCTGAGAAGGCATTTACCTTGCGACCATGATGTTAACAAGTTCTTGTGTATGCTCACGGTAATCGTCACGAACATATGGAAGACACACCCTTGTAATTTTGGAGGAAATAAAAAACCTAGGGTTTGGAAATGAAAAATCGGGAAGGGAATTTGGGGAAAAATGAACGATTGCGGTGAATTTGGGGAAGAAGCGTCTTTTATATTAGGGTTATTGCCACCTGGAAGCTGACTCAGACGCCCGTTTGGTGTTTCCGTCAAGTTAAATTGCCACATCACACTTCCGTTGACGGCAGTTAGAAGTATGTATCGGGTTGCCAAAATTGTAAAGGTCATGTATTTTTCTGACAAGGTTTGAAGGTCGTGATTAAATTGCCAAACGCGTAAAGGTCGTGTTAATTCCCGCCATTTTGCCTAATCTTATTTATTTATAAAACATTTGTTTGTCTCAATCATTTGTTCATTACATTATTATTAAACTGATTGGTGGACTACACTATCACATGCTCAATCATACCAGATCCCACTCGGCTCCCGTCGCTGGTTTTTCCTTGATGGGCTGCAGATTAAACTGATGATTTCTGTATTTTATTCGAAACCAACAGCTGGGTTCGATATTTGGATCCGATGAGATTCACGGGGTGTGATTGAATCTGTTCATCGTGTTGTGTGTCTGTGGATTTTTTCCGTATGAGTTCTTGTGATTGAGCTAGGTTTTATGATCGTGATGGCTTTGCAAGGGGGGAGTAATCCGTTGGATTCAATTTTTCACTCTGTTCATGTCGTGGTTAGCTATCCACTTGAGTCGAATTTCAGGAAATTTGCCATGGATTTCAAGAATTGCTTTGATGGGGTCTTGAAAAATAGTGATTTTGAGCAGTTGAATGTGAAGAATAAGAAAACGATGAGTGGTCAAGATTCAGTCTTTTATGGCGAAGATGGCGAAAACGGGAGCTTTCGGGTCAGTGCAGTTCTTGGAAATTATACTGAAAAATGTGGAAACAACGAGCATGATAATTTTAGCTTTATCCGTGATTGGGCAGGCAAATTAGATAGTTTATGTAATAATGGTGAAATTAGGCCAAAGGGTTTACCGATTGAACACTTGAAAAGATTGATATTTGATCAGCTGGGTCGTTTTCCAATGTTCAAACTGGGTTTTCAAGCTCATGAGTTTAAAACCACAGGTTATGAAGGCTATACCTCGCTTGATAATCATTTTGAGCAGACACTGTGTCGCGGTTTATGGGACAAGGAGAATGTTTTTGGTGGGTTCTTAACGAATTTGAAGTTTGCACGAGTTGGAGGTGTTCCATCGAGTGCAGTAGTTGAACATGTGTCTTCTGTAAAGGAAATTGGAGAAGAAAATGCTGTTGATGAGGAGAATGTTGGAGAAAATGAGCTGCAAAAGCTGGCGAAAGGGATTCTTAGTGTTCCTCTGTCCGATTTTAAGCCTTTGAGGGAAGGCCATCATGAAGAGTCGAAATCGGTCTCTGTGCAAGATTTCTTGAAATACACTGAGGCTGAAGGCAGGTGTTCTTCACTTAAGAGTTAAGAATGTCTTTTATTTGATTGGAAAATACATATTAAG